ATGGACTTGAGGGAAGGGAAGTCATGAATCCGCTTCTTTCTACGCCCCTTCATGCAGCACCTGCGTCTCAGCAGGGACCGCAATAATTATGGACCCAAAAATTCTATAGTCCTTATTATAGGGACCTCCAAAAAGGTACCCCTAATTTTGGGAATCCCCATGTATAGTACAGGGCTGGTGGAGAGCCGAATCTTTGGGACCAGGGGCTTTAGCTCCGCGAACCAAGAAAGCATTTTCTTTGACGGTTGCTGACATCCAGATTCTGAGTTATACGTATATTATGGTATATTATGATACGTTATATTATAATATACTATATTATGGTGGAGTATATGAAATTCTACTATATCATGGTAGATTATACTATATTATGTTCTTGTACATTGTAGATTCTGAGTGGACCGTGGTAGCACACGGTGGGGTCTTTGGGGCATCAGGCGTTTGCGGTTTGAATGAAGTAATTTGGCATTTGTTGCCGCTGTCAAAAGGCCTTCGTTGTACTTCCAGTCTGAATGGGATCCGTAGGATCCATGTGGCAGCTACAGTATTTGGGGGTCTATATTGGGATCCCCCTATCGCCTTCTCAATATCTTTTTGAATCTTATTCCAACCCTAAAGCTCCACAGCAGACTCCCCAGGTCTTACGTTAAGAAGCTTCCGAAGCTGGATGACACCAGTGCCCAGGACTACTGGGGGTTGGTAGGGAATAAGGGAAGTTAGCAGATGGGGATTATGTAGGGATTATATTCCTTTGTTCCCTAGAAAGCACCAGGAAGTTGGGGGGTTGCAGGTCAAAGACTTGGGATTTCTTGTAAAGACGTCTCTGCACAATACTACGATATAGCTGTCATGTAGTGACTTCAACAAAGGCCTACAGACATGAGGTCTTTCCTGGCCGAGGATTAGGCTCCAAAGCGGTAATGAAGCAATGATACACTCGAAGTGTCCATTTAATCTTCCATTTTCTTTTTCATTTTGCCAACATGTCCCTGCATTTATTTGATCCCAGGTAATGAAACCTGACTCGGTTCCAGACTCATTCTCGGAAGCCTCAGCTCACCTTTTGCATGCTGAGGCTGCGATATCTTGCAAACCGTAGCTCCTAAACCCGAAGCCCTAAACCCTAAACCCTGAACGCTCAACCCTAAACCCCAGACCTCTACACCCTTAAATCACAAGCTCCAAACTCGTAAGCCCTTCGGCCTTCAGGCCTTCTCAGACCTGATTCCTTAAACACCACCCGCCCTCCCCCCTTCCACAAAAAGCAAGTTGCCCCAAGCCTCAAACCCTAAACTTCCTAAACCTCTAACCCTTATATGGGTGGTTGTCAAAATCATGGTCCCTTTTTGGGTAGCCCAAATATTAGGTGCCGTATCATAATAGGGACCCAAAAAGGGACCATAATTTTGACAACTACCCATATCCTGAATCAAAACCTTTTTGAAGCCCATGACTTTTCCCTGTTCAGGACGGACCCTATGGCATCGTGCTGGCACCAAGTCGAGAGCTTGTGATCCAGATTGAAGAGGAGGACTTAAGGGTTTAGGGGTTAATGGTTTAGGGTTAAGGG